TTACCTGTTCTTCCATACTGGTTCCATTTTTTTCTAGGTGTGAAGATAAAGTGGTCATATTTTTAAGTTCCTCATGGAAGTTACAAAATGTGCTAGACTTAGTAACTTCTCCACAATCTTTTAGTGAGAAAACTAAATACAGATAAGTTTACATAGTACTAGAGTCACAATAAACATTTAATAAACTATTAAGAAAAGTAGATAGATGCTGAATGATACCCTTATTCTGTCCTGGTGATGACATTTTATGTGGTGTGTGTGTGTGTGTGTGTGTGTGTGTGTGTGTGTTTTCCTAAGTGTGCAGATGCACTTGTGTGTGAACACACGGTTGTATGCCAGACATCCACCTCTGTTTTTTTTTTTTTTCCTCAAGAGTCATCAGCTCATGTATTGAGACAGGCTCTCTCACTGACCTGGATCTTGCCGAGCAGCCTAGGCTATTTGGCTAATAGAGCCCAGTGGATTCACCTCTTCCCATCTTCCCGACACTGAGATTACAGAAGCTTGCCCCATGCCCAGTTTTTTCCATCATTCCTGAGGATCAAACTCAGGTCCCAACGCTCACCTAGCAGGCCCCTTGCTGACTGTGCTAGCTCCCAGGTCTCCTTGCCATGATTTTAATACATATATTTGGCTGGTGCCTGCAAACATGGGTTCACCCCTGATGACGAATTCAGAAACTTATTACTCATTTATCCGTTTTTCTCCCAAATTCCAGTTTCCTAGAAGCCACTAAATACTAAAACATATTTTCCCCCAGATGAATGAACAATGGGAGGCCATGTAAAAACTTAACAAGTTTTTGCTATGTAAAAAAAAAAAGATAATAACCGGTATTCCCTGAAAGAGACTATGTAAAAGAATAGTTGCTACAGAGCTAATTTTGAATGAATAGATAAATTCATGATTCACATTTTATTGTGGCAGGAATGCACTCAAAGATGACTTAAACAACGAGATAGTGAATGTGTCACTTTATGATGAGCCTAAATAGTGGTTCATCCTTCAATTTTTCTTTTCTTTCCTCCTTTTTTTTCTTTTTGCATTCTTAGCCATCAATTAAATTCTAATTTCCTATTATAATGTGGTTTCTATTGCTTCCATTGTACGTGGTGCTAGCTTAATTACCAGTGCACAGGGATGAAGAGGACTGGAGGCTACTGGCCGTGGTCACAGGGCTCAACTGTCCTCTCTAAAGCAGTATAAACACTGTTTCCATGCCATTGTCACTGTGAACTTTTTAATTCTAGCAATAACTATGATATGCCAAAAATCATGAAGCAAGCAGCTCAGCTCGGACACAGTGATAACACGGAACACAATATTTCTCTAGTGGGTAATGTGCCTAAGAATAAATGTGACCAAACATTTGCAAAGATTACACGAAAATAAATGTGTTATCCAGAAGCGGCTAAAGTGGATATAGTACAGTTTGAAATGACCACTGGCTTGTGATATCATCGCTGCCTGTTGGTGCATTATTCCTGAAAGTACGCTTCTCAGCAATATTTAGGGTAAGTGTTTCTTACGGTGTCATATGTTCTAGAACAAAAGCACTATCAAATGGAAACGATTATTCTATGGAAAGATAGATTAACAGTTTTTGAATCAAAAAGACTTTGGGGAAAGTAACATATCTACTCATAGTGTCCCAGACATACTTTGCCATGGCACATTAATGCGTTATCACATAATTTTCATTTCTTTGTGGTAAAACACATAAAATCGATTCCCACCCAGGCTTGAACTACATAATAGACAATGATAAGCCGCACATATTTATGATGTTCCATGGTCTCTTCGGGGAAATTTGTGATCCTATTTTAGACATCAGAAAACTGAGGGAAGCTAAAAGAAGAAGCTTGGATGGCTCTTAGGAGTGAGCCTAGAGCACTGTGTTCAGTTATGCACTGAAGAAATCCTGCTTGCAGACAACTCTTAAGGCTTGTCTAACCGAATTTTATTCCTTAGGAGATACGGAAGGGACTATAGCTTAGTGTCCGACCTGTGTTGTCGGAATTGTGTGCTTTGCTTCATATCAAACATCTCAGTTCATTCTTTCCTTATCCTGGCAAAGTAGGCAAAATTATGCTGCCAGCAGTTTTCTACCTGACCATCAGACAGAAAAAACTCACTACCAATGTATTCTTTTTACATGACATTATATTTGAGATCATTCCCCAAATGACTGAAGTACATTGAAATCAAAGTTAATTTTTTTGTGTGTGTGAGCTGCTCATTATGACACGGTTTGAACTTTCAATATTTATTTTAGGAAATATAATGTCATATTGTGTTATATCAATTTTGCTATATTTGTATGCATATAAATTTAAAAGTACAACAGTTTTATATACTCATCTGATAAACAGTAAGCCTGAATAATAAATAAATTTGGGGCCATAAAATAAGAAAGGTTGGAGATGTGTTTAATAGCTATAATGAAAGCAAAGTTCATCTAGCAACATATTTAATTCAGCACTAAGGTATTTACACCTTGAAATCTAAATGCACGGTGACTTGAGACTGTGTATGACTCACATGGAAGTACAGAGATGAAGAGGATTAACATCTTAATAGAAACCATAGTGAGAGGTACATCTCTTCTGTGCCCCTTAGGAGAATGAAAATGGCCAGGATACTTACCTGAGATGAAAGGGAATACAAACTATCCAAAACAAAGTTTGCAGCTTTGAGGACACAAAACCCAGGGGAGAATCCGACAGTCGTGCACCAAGTCTTACAGCTAAGACAAGGTTTGCTTTACGGCTGCATCATGAAAAGGAAGGACTGTATTTGAAGTGTTAGAGCATCAGAAAATTCAGTCTGCGTTATTATCACCACTGCCCTTTAGATGTTCTCATCATAGAGCAGACGCCCACACCTTCTCCACACCCTGAGTAGATGCTCAGCATGGCCAGCGCCTGTCATATTTGCTATCATAATTTCTCAATAAATAAACAAAGAAGATGTTTGCTTACTGATATTGGAGACAAACTTCAAACCACAGCAGAAATTCTAGTTACAGTCCCTGCTTCTAACAGCTTGAAGACATGTTTATTAGACAAACACCGGGGGATGAAATTAAATCATGATAAGTAGGCAGACATACGAGCTCTGTGAGAATCCCTAGCGCTGGACATTTCTGAAATCATGCACAAAACACTACCCAACTCCATGTGCTTAAGTCTCGGGATGATAAGAAAAATATGTTTTCAATCTTTCTCCCAATGTATTCATCTCAATATGAGAATAGATAGGTCTCATATTAATGCTTAATTTATAAATACTCATGAGCTCTATTAAAATTCCCTGGCAAAATCCTACCACGCTTTTCTTCCAGTGAACTCAGGCTCACGGTTTGGCAAGCCCTGTCTGATTAGCAGGTTTTTTTCTTCCCAATCACATTGCTGAGCACACCCAAATGGAGCGCTCCAGACTCACTGTTTAAAACAAGTTCTTTACAAAATATCTCGGGGGCTTGTTTAGACTATCTAAAGGAGATACAATGTAAGGAAATGGAGTGCAACCGAGAAATGTGAAACGTCTCTAAAACAAGATCTCTTCCCGTCAAGTTATCTTGTGTGTTCCTATCTCTACATGAAAGAAAAGAATGAAGCACAGCTTTTTTTATGTAGCACCATGAGTCAAGGACCGGCCACATGTGTACATCGCACACCCACACTGAACCGTGACGTGAGTGGTCACACCAGCCACAGCTCAATGACTACAATCAGTTTCAGATGTAAGCAATGCTCTCACTCATCTCCATTTCCAGACCCATCTCTGCTCAGAAGGGCTGACCGCAGGCTGGAACTGCAGGAGATAACCCCAGGCTCCAGACTTGAAAGCCCTGTACTGAGCTGCAGGTCAGGGTTCTGCTTACACTGGATTTGTGCAAAAGCGCATTCCTTCAGCGATGGTGAGAGGAGGGCAAGCTGTTCAAAAGGGAAAGGAGCTTGCTGCAGGAGTCTGGTGACTTGAATTGGATCTCCAGTATCCATGGAGATCTCGAAGCAGAGAAGCAACTCCATGAATTGTCCCTTGACAGACACATGTACACTATGACACACATATGCTCATATTTTCACATACACCAGTCCCACACACGATAAAGAAAGAAGAATAAATGTATGGATATCAGTCGGGTGATGGTGGCGCACACCTTTAATCCCAGCACTCCGGAGGCGGAGGCAGGCGGATATCTGTGAGTTCGAGCCCAGCCTGGTCTACCAAGCAAGTTCCAGGACTGACTCCATAGCTACTGTCTAGAAAAACAAAACAAGCAAGCAAACAAACAAAAAGATAAATATCTTCTCAAGGTACATTGACTGGCAGCTATGTGGTTATATGGCTCCAGATATTCCAGTCATATCAAGTGTTAAGTTCCATCGTCACAAAGACATCCCTACAGTGAGTAGGTGTCCTTTTTAGATCTCTGCACAGGACCAAGGATAAGCGATCTTAATGGGAACTTAACAACAACCATCTTTCCTTACTATAATACTTATTGAAGACTGTCTCTTTCACCTTTTCACACAACTAGCACTTCCCTTCCCCTCTCTCCTGAAAGAAGAAACATTTAAAATTAATTATAAAAACAGAAACTGCCACAAAACTAACCCCCGAACTCTGAACTAGTTCTAAGTATTGCTTAATTTCTGCTCTATACAGAAGTATCTAACACCATAATGTCAAATATGTAACTATTACAGTATAAGAGATATTATCAATGTTAAAAATACCAAAAATGAAAGATGATTTTTTGTAACATTCTTTTAGAAAGACATTGCAACACACAAATTTAAACTTAAAAATAATTGTTCTGAACTTAGAGAGCAGTAAAAACGACCAGCTAAATCTTGGGAACGCTTTTCAGGATGAAGTCCATCTACAGCATTTACATTGGCGCCGGTGCAACACAGAAAACAGTAGCAAACCTTTACTTGTTTGCAGGAAACAAAATGTTCACAAAGCCAAGAGCAGGGAAGAATTCTTACCACCTTCCTTAGTGCAGAGGCTGACGAGGTTGTGGACTGTGTCCATGAGTTCCAGCTGCTGTCTTTGGAGGACGCTGTTGTTGGTGGTGGCTCTCGTGAGTTGCTTCTCTAACTCCTGGATGATGAATGTTTGACGTGTAACCAGACTTTGAAGGTTTTCCTTCTCTTCCTTCAAGGTGTCCAATTCTTCTTTGTGTTTTCCCTCCATTTCTAAAATTTTATGTTCTAATAAGCTACAAGGAAATGAAAATAAGACTTAATTCTTACAGCGCTGGAGAAACAATGCTGGAATTCTACTTGTCCCTAGGAGTAAGACTACAAGTTTAAATTATTTATTATAGGAGTGCGTATGTGTTTTCATGTGTTCATGTGCACGTGTGTGTGTCTGCATGTTCATCTGTGCATGCACATTTGCTTACACATGCTGTGGTGCATTTGCATATTGCAGACAATGGTTTACAATTGCCTTCCCCTGTGTTGGTTCTGAGGACTGAACTCAAATCATCAAGCTTGGTAGGCAATAAACCTTTTACCTACTCAGCGGTCTTACTGGCTCATAAAAGTGGTTTTTGCGAGACAAAAATGTATATAGTGTCAACCACGTGAAAAACACAAATCGAAACCACAGTGAGGTTCTCTTTCACCATTGGCAGATCGCCAATCATTAAGAGAATAGCAAGGAAGAGCTCCAGCGGCTAAGAGCACTTATCACTTACTGCTCCTAAATAGTGAGGACCCGGGCTCTGTTCTCAGCACTCACATGGCAACTTGCAATTCTAGTTCCAGAATATCGAAATGCCATTTCTAATTTCCATGGGCCCACACATGCACCTGGCTTGTGTACACACTCATGCACACATATGCACACAAAATGGATGAATTACGAAAAAGAAAATGCCATCAAATGCTGACAGAGATGTGGACAAAAGGAAACCTTTCTGCAAGCAAGCATCTATTGAGGCGGGTTCTGCAGGAACAGAGAGCACCTTAACCCATCCTGTTTTGCAACTCTAGCTAACTCTTCTTGTGAGGTCAGGCTTCTGGATGAGATGTGTGGCTATCACAGTTTCTGGAATCACTAGGCAGGCGGTGCAGAAAAGTAAGACTCCATTACGTGAGTACCATAGTCTTACAGAGAAATGTGGGATACTTTGCTCAAAGTGAGGCAACCATGGGAAGCTTCTCTCAGCGCTCTGCCAACGACACCCTCCTTGTGCAGTGTGCATGAAAAGCGACAAAGAACGCAGAAGCACTTGGGGATCTGGGCAACTGACTTGAAATAAAAGGCATTTTCTACTTTATAGAGTGTCTAATACACTAATATTCTTAGGGGAAAAGACTTACTCAGTTTTCTTAGTTCTGTTTTCAGACGGTTCCAAGCCGTCCTTAGTTTACAAGGTGCTATTCCAATGCAGCACACCCAGAATGGGCACTTAATTTACCTTGGAGAAATATAGAGCTGAATCATTCCTATAAGTCTTCAAAAAGAAGACACTAGGGAGTGTTTTAAATTTAATACTTAAATTATACAATCTAGTGTGTTTGAAGAGTCAAACTTTCCAAGTGTTTGCGAGAAGGGGCAAGATGTAACATCTGACCGTCTTTACACACAGGAAGAAGTGTGGCAAGAAACGCTCAAGGACGCTCCGGGTCTTTGCTAACAAATCTGTTCTCCAAAGAAGAGTGTAGCCTAGTGTATGGTAGAGAGCTGCTGGGAAGCTGGGCCCATTTGTGAGACCAGCCTAACTCGCAGAAATTTTGGGAGCGAACCAAGGTTCACATATGCAGGTTCCACGCGGATACCCAGTAAGGGACGCCACATTTCTCTCTTGAGTTTCCTTCGTTCTACTAGATGTCAAGACAGAAAGAATCCTTCCCTTCTCCTGGCCATACAGAAACCTCTAATTGGAAAGGGAAGAGGAGAAATACTTAGGGTCATTTACATTTGTTTAAATCCCTGTTCAGAACTGAAGAAAAGTTAGAAAAGGAAGTCAGAGTAAGATGAAAGAAAGGATCTCTAGGGAATAAGTATGATGCAGTGTCTTTTAGTAGTTCCTGCTGCGCCAATAACTTGTTGCTGCTAGAAAAGCTTATGAGAGGGGAAAAAAAGAAGAGAGAAAGGTTGGGGAGAACGGCAGTCAATTTTTCTATTGTTTGTATTGATTTTAAAAAGTGCCATCCACATCCTACTTAACTGAGGAGTTCTCTGCTGTGGGTAGAGGCGAAGCCTTCCATCCTGCTTGTAGAGTTTTGGCTTTTGATCTGAGAATTAACCACAACCGATGCTCCAGCCCATGCTTAGCTTACTTTTTAGTTACGTTTTCTCCTATTTCAGGAGTAGGGATCAGATACATGACTGCTGCAACTCAGAGTCGTTAACTTAGAAAAAAATCGTGTGTCATATTCACATCAGTAATCGTATACTACCGGGAAATCTTTAGCATTAATGGCTAAAATGATGAGCACTTCATGACTTGGAAACTAAAGTGTCATATGATTCTGGACAAATGTTCTAAGCAAGCGTTTGTATCCCAGAAGTAAAATCAGAGCTGGCCTTCCAGGTTTCCTAATTAACAGACAATATCAGGTTCTAGTTATAAGTCATATTTTTTAGTTGCTAAGTGCCAATAACTATGTGGAGTCTAAGATGACAATATTTCTACACTAAGGATTTATTTTTAGACAGCAAGCCTCAGAGAAGAATCATAAGCAGCAAGAAACTTCTGTTTCCAACATAATTCATTTTTCATACTTTGCATCAATATTTTCCACTTCTGCATCTGATGTGTCTCTACAAGAAGAGCACTGGGAGAGGCTGCTGCTCCACTAGAGAAGCCAGTCAACGACATTGGGAGCTTTGTTTTGATTTGTTTTCAACACAATTTGGAGAGTAAAAAGATGATGAAGGAGATCCTTAATCCAAAGAAAACAATCTTGGGTGTCGGCTTGTAGAAGAGAAGTGGTTTCCTTTGTCAAGGGAATATACATTATCATATTGGAAAGAACATTAATTTTCATTACCCACTAAACAGGTGTTAATCTACCATGACTTGCAGGTTTCAAGTGGCATCAGCCCAGACTGTCATTTTAGAAGAGATATTCAAGAAGGAAAAGAAGCATCCATCATCAGGATGCAAGAAGACACAGATCACAGATATCTCAGAGGACCGGGAAACCAAAGCAGCAATTCTCTGGCTGCAGTACTGGAACCTTGACATACGGAATAGATAAAGTTTCCCAGAAAGTGTTTCCTACCAGGATACTTAGGTCTCTCTTAGTAGCCCTCCTCCTAGTCCAGTTATTTTCTAGTAATAGTATAGCCAATCTTTTTTATGGGTGATATTCTTTAGACTCTTTCAGAATGGCCATCTCTTCCTGACCCTTCTGTCTGCTTTGATGGGATTCATCCTCTTTTTCATCTCCTCTTAATGTATGGTTTCCAAAAGACTTTTCTCTTTCTTTCCTCTTTTTCTCTTTGGCTCTTTATGCACTTTCTAAGTCAACCTTTTTGTTGTATTTAATTCAAATGGTTTATATCTAAGATTTACTTTCCAAAAAGATATATACTGTCTGTAGCTAGTAACACATTTGTAATATAATATTAGAGCTGCATAACGCTTAAGAAAATCCCTATCTCCTTTGCTTCTTTTTCTTAAAGATTTATTTTTATGCTTATTGTAGGTGTAGGAGTCTTTTGTCTGCATGTATGTCTGTGTACTATAACATGCAGTATCCACAGAAACCAGAAGAGAGAAACAGATTCTCTGAACCCTGAATTATGAGTTTGAGCTGCCATGTGGGTTCCAGGAACTGAACCTGTGCAAAAGGTTGTGAAAGAGAAACAACTAATCTTCTCTTCAGTCTTTTCTTGGATTCTTTTTTTTTCTTTTCTTTTTTTTATGTATTTTTTTGAAAGTAAATTTTATTAAATTATAAAAGTTTCCATTTCCGCCCCTCTTCCCAACACCCTCCCACTCCCCCCACTCCCTCTCCTCCTCCCTCTTCGTCCCTTAGGGCAG